GTTAACCTGTTACCAGACAAACGCAAGACGCTCAGCTTCTCCAGCACTGGACCTGAAAGAAACACACAGAGACAACAGAGAGTCTGAGACTCTCATCACATCAGAATGAAAGTTTTGTGCCTTTTAATTCATGTCTGCACACAAATGCTTAACTAAATCTACAACTATAAGCATGTGAGGTAGAAATGCAAGGAATGTGCAAAATGAAAAAGAGAAGGAAAAAAACATTGTAAATGTGCAGTAGAGACAGGTTATTGTACAGGGTTGATTTTTTTTTAATAGCATTAGTATAGGTGGTCAAAGTGAGCTTTATTGTTCAGCGCCTGGGTTTAGAGTTCAGCAGGCTAACAGCTGAAGGAAAAAAACTGTTCCTGAGTCTGCTGATGCGACTCAAAGACTCCTATAACGGGAGAGGAGTAAAGAGTCGTGGCTGGGGTGAGAGGAGGCTTTGATAATGCTTCTCACTCGCTTTAGGCAGCGTTTGTGATGAATGTCTTTGATGGAGGGAAGCTGAACACCAGTGATGTATTGGGCAGTTTTCAGCACCCGCTGGAGGGCTTTCTGATCGGAGACAGTGCAGTTGCTGTACATTCAATAGGTCCTAAGGAAGCAAAGGTGCTGTTGTGCCTTTTTGATGAGCGTGGAGGTGTTGAGGGTCCAGGAAAGATCCTCAGAGATATGGACACCAAAGAACTTAAAGCTTCTCACCCGTTCCACTTTGGCTCCATCAGTGTAAATAGAATTGTATGTGTGACCTTTCCTAGACTGCCAGTTTAATTTAGCATTTATATTTTTGCATTAATTTTGCGTTTTAATTTCACATTTTGCATTCATTTCACAGTTAAGAGTAAAATGACTGATGTGCTTCTGTTTACCTGGCGGCTCCAGTGTGCTGATGTGATTGTGGCTCAGATCCAGCTCATGCAGCTCTGTGAATCCAGAATACATGGACCAGGACAGAGACGTGAACTGGTTTCCAGTGAGAACCAGGACCTGCGTGTCTGTGTCGATGCCGGCGGGAACAGCTGTCAGTCCCTGACTCACGCAGCTGACGCGGGGCCGATGGTCCTGGTTCCTGTCGCTCTGACAGCTGCTGCTTGTGACGATGAAGCACCGTATCATGAGGAAGACCAGGGTGCTGATGAAGCGTGGCATGATGAAGGCTGCCAGAAAATTAAGACTAGTGCACAGTAAAGTAAGTAAAACTGTGCACATATTTATCACAAGTTGTCTTTAAATGTAATGTAATGCTGTTCGTTGGAACTTTCTATTCATCTGTGCATCCTGAAAAATAAAATGTATCACGCTTTCCACAAAAATAATCAGAAATGTTTCTTGAGCAGCAGATCAGCATATTAGAATGATTTCTGAAGATCATGTGACACTGAAGACTGGAGTAATGATGCTGAAAATACAGCTGCGCATCACAGAAATAAATTACAGTTTAACAGATATTCACTTAGAAAACTGCTGTTTTACACTGTAATAATATTTCACAAATGTTACTGTATTTTTAATAAAACAAATGCAGCCTAGGTGAGAAAAAGAGACTTCTTTCAGAAACATTTAGAAATCTTACCAACCCCAAACTCTTAAAACAATAATGTATAATTTTAAGTATGCATCGTGACAGTGAGATCTTGTCGTGAAATTAATGCTACAACACAAAACAATCTCAATGGTAGGCTTCATGTTCTTTACGCAAAATATAATGAACATTTCTTTAGATAAGTTATTTTATTATGCATGATCTATAATAACAAATAGCTGTCATAGTAAAATATATGAATAGTGACACCGTACTGTTTTGTATAGAGATAGTCTTCCTTACACCACACAAACATGACATTTCACCTTCAAAAATTACATGAGACTGTAAAGAGTAAATGATGAGTACCTCTGAGCGCTGGTGTCTGCGGAGCTGCAAGAGTCTGTATGAAGCCGGTTTCCTCTGGTCTCTGGATTCACAGCTCTATCTCTCTTCCTCAGAGTCAAACACCAACCACAAGCTCTCCATATATGAGCATATATTCATCAATCCCCACAATGAGCTTTTCTTGGGTACAACAACAAGTTTCCTGGAAGACGGTAATTTCTGTAACAACTGAACTCTATAGCAGTTAAACAATATATCTGAGTACTGAACCAGATCTCTACATGTTCTGAACGAAATATGAATGCTGTCAATCTTCTTGTGAAGTGATGTTGTTGCTTGTTCAATAGCATTTTAAAGCCTTTGTCATATTGTGATCTGTTTTTTTTTTTTTACCTTTATCGTTAAAATACCCGTCTTCAGCAAACAATGATAAAACAACAAAATAATTAGAATCTGCAGATATATAAGAGATACAGATGTGAGCTTCTGTCAACAAAAACCCATCAAGGATGCTTTAAATTGTTTGAAAGTTACAATAAAGATATTTATAATGTTACAAAAGAGTTCTATTTAAAATAAATGCTGTTAAAAAAAACTGACACTGAAGACTGGAGGAATGATGCTGAAAATTCAGCTTTGTTCACAGCAATAAATTACATTTGAACAGATATTCACATAGAAAACAGATACTTTTAAATTGTAATAATATTTCACAATTTTTACTGTATTTTTGATCAAATAAATGCAGCCTTGGTGAGCAGAAGAGACTCTTTCAGAAACATGTAGATATTTAAGACGTACAGACTTCAGAACACCAGACACACTGTCGTTTTTATACATTGTCCTTTATTGACATTTTGCTATTTTTAACCATTTTTAAAACTCAAAAGATAACTCAAAACCCAGAATAAAACAAACAGAAGAGCAGAAACAGAAGCGGCAGCTTGTGTCCAGTGAGACACTTGAGGTTCATCATGTAGAAAACCATGTCAATGTCAACCTCAAACAAAACACACACACACATACAGAGTGAACAGTGCATGTGTGTGTTTGTGCAAATGAACTCAGCGGATTCCTCACACACATACATGACTGCACAAACACACATTACTCAATGAAATCATAACCAAACTGAAGAAAGCAAATTAAACTAAATAAACGTCATATTACGGCAGGAAATAGTCTGCGAGTGTAAATAAAAGACATCATCATCAAAACACAATCAGCCGATTGTCCAGAAGTGTAAAAGGTCACGTCAGAAAAGCTCCTGTGCTAGTTGAGTGATGTCATATCTCGCAGTAATAACTCCGGCCACCTGCGACGCAGTTACCATGACGACGCCGAACACAAGAACAGCCTCCTGTGTGTCTCTGAACATTCAAGTGGCTTCTCTGTCTGACGGGATGCAGTGGGAATCTCCAATGGAAATTTCCGGTGAGACTCTCCAGTGGGAATCTCCAATCAGACTCTTAACAATCTCTAGAGAAATTCCCCAGTGAGACTCTTCAGAGAGAGATTCTCCAGTGGGAATCTCTGGTGAAAATCTTCTTAAGAATCTCCAGTAGGAATCTCTGGTGGTAATCTCCTTAATAATCTCCGGTGAGACTCTTCTTAATAATCCCCAGTGGGAATCTCCAGTGAAACTCTTCTTAAGAATCTCCAGTGAGACTCTTCTTAAGAATGTCCAGTGGGAATCTCTGGTGGGAATCTTTTTAAGAATCTCTAGAGAAATTCCCCAGTGAGACTCTTATAGAGAGATCTTCCAGTGGGAGTCTCTGGTGGTAATCTTATTAAGAATCTCCAGTAGGAATCTCTGGTGGTAATCTTCTTAAGAATCTCCAGTAGGAATCTCTGGTGGAAATCTTCTTAAGAATGTCCAGTGGGAATCTCTGAGTGGGAATCTCCAGTGAAACTCTTCTTAAGAATGTCTAGTGGGAATCTCCAGTGAGACTCTTATAGAGAGATCTTCCAGTGGGAATCTCTGGTGGTAATCTTCTTAAGAATCTCCAGTAGGAATCTCTGATGGTAATCTTCTTAAGAATCTCCAGTGGGAATCTCCAGTGAGACTCTTCTTAAGAATGTCTAGTGGGAATCTCTGGTGGAAATCTTCTTAAGAATGTCCAGTGGGAATCTCTGGTGGTAATCTTCTTAATAATCCCCAGTGGGAATCTCCAGTGAGACTCTTCTTAAGAATCTCCAGTAGGAATCTCTGGTGGAAATCTTCTTAAGAATGTCCAGTGGGAATCTCTGGTGGGAATCTTTTTAAGAATCTTTAGAGAAATTCCCCAGTGAGACTCTTATAGAGAGATCTTCCAGTGGGAATCTCCAGTGAAACTCTTCTTAAGAATCTCCAGTGAGACTCTTCTTAAGAATGTCTAGTAGGAATCTCTGGTGGGAATCTTTTTAAGAATCTCTAGAGAAATTCCTCAGTGAGACTCTTCTGAGAGAGATTCTCCAGTGGGAATCTCCAGTGAGTCTCTTCTTAAGATTCTCCAGTAGGAATCTCTGGTGGAAATCTTCTTAAGAATTTCTAGTGAGATTCTCCAGTGAGACTCTCCAACGGGAATGTCCAGTGAGATTTTCCAGTGGGACTTTTCAGTGCGATTCTCTACTAAGATTCTGAGCATCCAGCATGATGCACCACTGCAGCCTCACGCAAGCAGGACTGATTTAAATCGGCCACTCAAAAATAATGTTGAACTGTATCAAACGACTGTCTGTGGCACAAAGGCACAGGACTCATATTCCAAATAAATAGTCAAAATATTTCAGCCTTCTGATTAAGTTTAAAACATGTCATCAGCACGTTCACTCACTTAAAAATCCCAACAGAAATCCTAAAAAACATCAACTCTAAAACTCACACAACTTGCATCTTTATTCCACATGTCTATTTCATTGACCTTTGAACTCTCCACATCACTTTCACCATCATCATCATCAGTGACTGAGAGCTGTCAGTCATCAGCGTAAACTTGTTCCAGCCCATCACACTTTTGTGTTTCTCATTTCTCATCTCATTTCTCTCCTCTAGTGTGAATCATTTCATTCGGCAGGTTCGTTTCGATGAACTGGTTCTTGATTTAAGTCATTCAGTGATGTTCACAGAAGTTTTTTTTTTTTCTCTCAGATCAAACATTTCTGATTAAATGTTCATTATTTGAGCTGTAAACGAGGTGAATCGACGAGTGGGATGAAGTCTTGTGTAGATTAACATTGATCATCTGGCTCAGTTTATTACACTAAAGACCATTACTGCAATGCAATGAAAAAAAAAGTTAAAAGACTAAAATAAAATAAACACTGAAGGGTGAGTCAAATGATTCTAGCTGGTGACGAACAGCATCTGAACATGTACTGTAACTGGAACCTTCCTTTAAGGTGATTTGAGTTGTTTTGTTGTGAATCAGGTGAATTAATCATTAGCAAGAACCAGTTCAAAAGAACCATATCCATGAATCGGGCATCAAAACTTCCTCCTGCATCTCAGATCTCACACAGTAAATCATCAGTGTCACACACACTCACACACTCCCATGGCATTTCCTTCAGTGATTTCTGAGGTTATTGGCATCTCAATAAGGCACATTGAGGCTGAACATACAAACACCCAAAACTAATGCAAAACTAGTCCTGGGCCGAGTCATTGCGGAGAGGTACGTGATCCTGAACAACAGCAAAAACACACACAGACGGAGTAGTGACGTGGCGACTGTGCAGAGTTTGGGTCAGTTTGGGTTAACTAGTCTCGGACCGCCCATACATGCATACTGCACTTAAAATAATGAGAGCTTTCCAAAAATCACAAGCTCTAATCTGATTGGATGACCAGGAGTCTAAAGGCCCGTTCACACCAAGAATGATAACTATAACCCAATTGCGTAGATTCCTATTAAAACGACTTGATTTCGCCTGCAAAAATTTGCAGAACTACAGTAAATGTGAGCGCACCTTTAGAATGAATATTAAACCTTCATCGTCATAGTTACTGTTCTCATTGTGAACGGGTCTTAACTGTCACTCAAACACTCTCTTCCTGTCTAAAGTGGGCGGTTCTTGGCCAGAATTAACTCTTTCTACTGATAGTCTGCCTACAGGAGACTGTTAACTAACCCATCAAAACAACACGGCTTGTATTCATGACATCATAACTGAACGGCAGTAAAACAACGGTCACACGCACACATCAGATGGGCGTTTCTTTACTCTTCAGGTCGGGGGCGCTGTATTGCCGTCTCATGCGCGGCGGGGTGACGTAGCCCTGTGGTTTTTGGTTTTTGCCATGCTGTTGATCCACGAGCGTGTGCGGTAGAGTCTGGTAGATCTGGAAGGCGGGCCGCTGATGATTGACGTACATTTGCGTGTACGCCCCCTCCCCACGTGTGCAAGGGCCCAGCGACTGTCGCCGATAGCGACCGCGTCCCATATGCTGTGAGCCATTATTGTTGTGGTGCCCATTGCTATAGTAACCCTGGTTGCTAGGCACGGTGCTGCTGTCCAGTGAGTTGCGCCTGTAGTGCCACTGTTGCTGCTGAGGAAACGGACTGCCGTTGCCATAGTTGCCATTGCCAAAGTTACCGTTGCTGTATTGGCGAGGTTGCCAGGGGCGACTGGGGGAGGGCGCGCGCATGACAACCGGCACTTGGAAAGGTAGAGGAAGTAACGGCACGCCGGGGGCGGGGCCTCGTCTCTCGTTGTGATCATCCTTGAGGTCATCCACCGTGACGGACGCATTCGGGCCCCAGGAGAGCCGGTGCTGCGGGTTGCTCTTAAAGGGGAATTTCAGCTTGCAGTCCTGAGGGGGAATGAAGCGTCCCGTTCCAGGAAGGTGGACCACGCCCTCCCCGCCCCCGGCTCCGCCCCCTCTGCGCAGACGCTTGGTGATCTGCTGCTGCTGCAGGTTGTGCAGACGCAACTGCTCCTGTTTGAGCCAGCGCATGCGGCCCCTCCGGAAGGCGGGGTCTTCTTCCATCAGCCGTGACACTCGCTTCTCTTTGGGGAGGGGCTCCAGAGAGCCACACCCATCCTGCTCATCGCCCCGCCCCTGATCGCCGTATGCAGGCAGTTCCTCTGATTCATCATCATTATCCTACACAAACACAATCATGTCATCCATTACTGTCTCCATTCAGAATTGAGTTGAGAATGCCTTTAAATTCCAACTGAATTTCTAAATTTGATTTAAATCTGAATCAATATAACAAAAAGGATGCAGAATTGCAAAATTCAGAATTCACAATGCAACTGTCATTTTTAACTAGAACGTTTGTCAAGATAATCTTAGAATGTTGGTTTAGTAAGGCTTGTTTGAAAAATGAGGTTTATTGGCCTTAAAGATAAAGAAAGAAAGAAAGAAAGAAAGAGAAACATAAGAAAAAAGAAAGAGAATGAAACAAACAAAAAAAAAGATAAAGGAAAACAAAACATAAAAGAAAAGAAAAACGGAAAAAAAAATAAACAAGTAATAGAAAACAAAAGGAAAAACTAACCAAAGAAAAACAAACTTAAAAAGAAAGAAAAAAAGGAAATAAACAAAAACATAGAAAATCAACAAGAAATGAAAGAAAATGAAATAACGAAACAAAGAGAATGTAAGAAAAACAAAAAATAAACAAAAAGAACAAATTAAAGAAAGCAAATAAAACATTTTTTTAAAAAAGCCTGAAAGTGTTTGAAATGTCATCTACTGTAAATAAATCTGTAAATTATAGGGCTGGGTAAAAAATATTGATTTCTCAATTTTAATTGATTCTCATTTTTATGAAACAATACGGATTCATAAATCCCAAGAATCGATTAGTCTCGCCTGTCAGATAATGAACGGAACATTGTAGCGCCTTCCATCCAATAAATCGCAATAAGCGTTGTGGTTTGTTACTTTTGATATGAAACAAAGTCTCAGATTTCAAATTCTGTGACTGTCCATTTTATTACAATATTAAAATATTAAATGCCGTTTTGGCGCTGTTTAATGTTGAGTGACAGATCATCTCCTCAGCTTTAATAGCAGTTACAGCATGAAATAAACATGAATGAACATCCGAAGTTTTGTTAAAAGAAAGAGTACAACTTACCGAAATCCTCCCATCTCCTGTCTCATGTAATCACTCAATCAGTGTTTTAAACGTGGAAAGACGACAATAGCTGTCGACAATGTGTCAAGTAACGTCACATTTACCACAGAAAAACACATTCGGTGAGCATGATCTCATTAACCATGCACCATATAACATATTCATTATCATTTTTTACTGTTCTACAATATTTAATTCATGTTTGAATAAAGTTTTTGTGCAACCACCATTTAAATATTTATATTTCAAAAAACTAACTGATGTAGAAATATACTTATGTAATTTAAAGGGGTCATATGATGCGATTTCAAGTTTTCCTCGAGTGTCTGAAATCTCCGAGCGCCACCTCGTAGCAGATCTCCTTCACCGCCTGCAGCTTCAGGTCGCTCATGGTCACCTGCTGGGGGTCTTTGCTGATGCGTCTGCGCTGCGGGATCTGATAGACGCGGAGCGGCTCGCGCCGTTTGCCGCTGCTGGGTAAACCGCAGCGCTTCACTATGGACTGAACCTGAAACACACAGGAAACACACACGAGGAACATAAGACGTCTGTCCTGTATTCACAAAACATTTGTGACCACAAACCAGTCATAAGGGTCAGTTTTGTGAAATTTGCGAGTGTCTGTCTGAGTGAGTGTGTGTGTGTGTGTGTGTGTGTGTGTGTGTGTGTGTGTATGCACCTGCTGCACTGCTGGTATGATGCTCTCCATCTTCATCATTCTGTCTCTGAGGGCTTTGATCTCCTCGTCCTTCATATTGTTCTGCTCTTTGACCTCTTCTAGAATATCTGTCAGTTTGTCGATGTGTGCTTTCAGATTGTACACGCCGGATCTGCCGCTCTCTCCGTCCGCTGCACCGTCTGTCGTCTCCAGCGTGCGCTCGTCTGCGATGCCCACCGTGTCCCACACGTCCTGCGCCACCTCCCTCCACGAGTCCTTCTCGGCCGCGTCTCGTTTGCCGTACATGCGGCAGAGCTCCTTCATCTTGACGATGGCCAGCGCCTCCATCTCCCGCCGCGAGTGTCTGAAATCTCCGAGCGCCACCTCGTAGCAGATCTCCTTCACCGCCTGCAGCTTCAGGTCGCTCATGGTCACCTGCTGGGGGTCTTTGCTGATGCGTCTGCGCTGCGGGATCTGATAGACGCGGAGCGGCTCGCGCCGTTTGCCGCTGCTGGGTAAACCGCAGCGCTTTACTATGGACTGAACCTGAAACACAAGAAATATTCATGAGGAACATGTGACGTCTGTCCAGAAACACAGATGAGCACAAGAATGACAAGTGAAGAGCGATAAAGAGTATGCAGCAGAGTATATGCAGAATTTTAAATCAAATTTAAGACTTTTTAAGATCTTTTAAGAGCTGCACAAATAAAATTAATACTGTATGTCCATTCAGAACAAACCCATACAATCGCAAAATAAATAATGTACCGCAGACAATGTTATTTAGTATCATTCAGATACTATTGTAGTTTGTATCAATATTTTGAATTCGTTTTTAATTTGAGTTAAAATTTTTGTCATTTTGTTGTGTTTTTGTCATTTTTAGCAGTTTTGTTTTTTTTAATTACTTCAGTTTTAGTTAACGATAATGCTGATCGCCGATTCTTAGTTAAACAGACTGTTGCACACATATAACCACAATACAGAGCAACTGCAAGTTTAAAATATGTATATGGTTTATGCACAAATATATCAGTACAAACGAAAGAAAGGTTGATTGATATTGGATTTTGCTGATATGATGTGTTTAAAGAAAGGCGATATACAGATTGTGCCAATACTAATAAAATCTATATACTGAATGTGTTAAATAATGTTCTTAGTCTTTCTTTCTTATGATAAGGCAGCCCAGAGAGAAAATACAAGAGTTTACATAAAGTTCAAGTTTATTTATATAGCACCTTAAAAGCAACGAGTGCTGACCAAGGTGCTGCACAGTCAAAACATCAGAAATATCAACTAACAAAAGCATTAAGACAACATCAAATTTGAAATAATTAAATACAATAAGTAATGCAAAACATCACCAAACAAAAGAAACAAACAGAAACAAAACAAAAAAGTATTTTCAAGTTAAGCAAAAGCCTGAGAAAAAAAGTTTTAAGAGATGATTTAAAAGAAGATAACTGTCACGAATCCTGTCCATGGACTTCCGTTCAATCACCACCAGAGGTCACCCTTTCATTAAATTGACTCTCGCACAACACAAACTGTTGCATGTCTTCCCTGACTACATATCCCATCAGCCATTGCACTGATTGCACACAGCACTGATTGCACACAGCTGACATCAATCACACATTCACTATATAACACTCACTCAAACACCATTCTTGGCCGAGTATTGTTTAGCGTTTATCACTGTGATAGCTGATAGCTACTTTACGGAGCCTGCTCTAGTTTGAATAGTCTAGTCATCGTCTTGCCTTGCCTGTTTTCCTGGTTCCTGATTCTTGCCACGTATCTTGGATTAACCCTTTGCTTGCTGTTTTCGGACTGTGTTTGCTCCTCGCCTGGACTTTTGCTCACGTTTACGGATTACCCCTCTTGTCAAGCCCTCTGGAAACTGTTCGCCGATCCAAGACCCACGCTAGCCCTAGGATTATTCTTGTGTCTTGCCCGCCATATACCTGTTTGCCATTGTTCGACCCTGCCTGTGTTTCTGACCTCTTCTGCTTTCAATAAAAGCTTGCACATGGATCCGCACGTCTCACGTCTTGTCAGCCCCGTAACAATAACGTAGAGGATGATCTGATGGATAAAGGCAAAGAGTTCCAGAGCGTAGGACCTAGAACTGAAAAAGCTCTGTTCCCTTTAGATTTTAAACGAGATTTTGGGACAATCGATAACTTCTGAGAAGACGATCGAAGCGTTCTCACAGGAGAGCAGAAGTGGAGAAGATCTGAAATGTAGATTGGGGCAAGACCATGAAGTGCTTTAAATACAAAAACTAAAACCTTAAAATCAACACTGAATTAAACAGGTAACCAGTGAAGTGAAACTAACGCAGGGGATATGCTCCCTCTTTTTTGTTCCTGTCAAAAAGCGAGCAGCAGCACCAATTGTAAACGTGATAGTGAAGACTGGTTAATTCCAGCATAAAGAGCGTTACAGTAATCCAGCCTTGTTGAAATGAATGCATGAATAACAACCTCTAAATCATTAAAACTGAGAAAACTTTTCAGCTTGCGAAGCTCCTTCAGCTGCAAAAAACTGGTTCTGACTACAGAGTTTATTTGTTTGTCAAATTTCAATTCAGGATCAAAAATAACTCCCAGATTTTTAACCTTTTCATGGATGTTTTCTTCAAAAGGGCCCAGAGTAGGTCTTAAATTATGTAAAATTAAACCAGGAAAAAATAAATGTAAAAAATAATGTTAAAGTTAATTTGAAAATAATTATAATGTTGCGTAATCTATAAAAAATATGCATGACCAATTTTAAGGTCAAGGTCAAGTTTATTTATATAGCACCTTAAAAGCAACGAGTGCTGACCAAGGTGCTGCACAGCCAAAACATCAGAAATATCAGCTAACAAAAGCATTAAGACAATATAAAATTTTAATTAAAATAATCATTAAATTATACAATAGGTAATACAAAACATCACCAAACAAAGAAACAAACAGAAACAAATCAAAAAAGTATTTTCAAGTTAAGCAACAGCCTGAGAAAAAAGATATGTTTTAAGAGATGATTTAAAAGAAGATAACGTAGGGGATGATCTGATGGATAAAGGCAAAGAGTTCCAGAGTGTAGGACCAAGAACTGAAAAAGCTCTGTTCCCTTTATATTTTAAACGAGATATTGGGACAATCAATAACTTCTGAGAAGACGATCTAAGTGTTCTCACAGGAGAATAGAAATGGAGAAGATCTGAAATGTAAATTGGGGCAAGACCATGAAGTGCTTTAAATACAAAAACTAAAACCTTAAAATCAACTCTGAATTTAACAAGTAACCAGTGAAGTGAAGCTAACACAGGCGTAATATGCTCCTTTCTTTTTGTCCCTGTCAAAAAGCAAGCAGCGGCATTCTGTACCAATTGTAAACGTGATAGTGAAGACTGGTTAATTCCAGCGTAAAGAGCGTTACAGTAATCCAGCCTGGTTGAAATGAATGCATGAATAACAACCTCTAAATCATTAAAACTGAGAAAACTTTTCAGCTTGCGAAGCTCCTTCAGCTGCAAAAAACTGGTTCTGACTACAGAGTTTATTTGTTTGTCAAATTTCAATTCAGGATCAAAAATAACTCCCAGATTTTTAACCTTTTCACGGATGTTTTCTTCAAAAGGGCCCAGAGTAGGTCTTAAATTATGTAAACGGTGAGAAGGGCCAAACAATATAACTTCAGTCTTTTTTTGATTCAACTCTAGGAAATTATTTTCCATTTAATTCTTGATGTCTTCTAAACAAGCCAGCAAGGAAGACACTGAATCAGAACCTGATTTTAGAGTGTCATCTGTGTAAATGTGGTATGAAACTTTATGAGACTTAAATATAAAACGAAGAGGGAGCAAATACAGGGAGAATAAAATTGGACCCAAAATAGAGCCCTGGGGTACCCCACAAGTGATGGGAACTGAGCTTGATGAAAATTCACCGAGAATTTCCACTGAAAAACTCCTATTTGTGAGATACGATGCAAACCAGTCTAATGCAGTACCACAAATGCCAACCTCAAGATTTGATCTTTTTAACAGGATGTGGTGATCTACTGTACGAAAGCCGCACTCAGGTCGAATAATAAGAGAATAGTACAGTTACCAGTGTCTTCTGCAGATAACAAGAGATAATTTACTACTCTTAAAATACCAGATACAGTAACTGCGTGACCAAAATACCAATAATAACCAAAAAAAAAAGCTTTTAATGCATATTGCAGGAGTTTTAATTATAAACAAGTCCAAAATACGCCAGGACTCTTATTTTGAAATGTCTCTGTTTTTCGTGTACCTTGTTAGCTGGTAGTTTCTCTCTTAGGGATGAAATGAGTCTCCAGCTCTCTTCACATGAGCGTTTGTCAGAATCATCTCCACTGTCTGAATCTGCGTACTGAACACACACACACACACACACACACACACACAGACACAAACACACACAGACACAAACACAAACACACACACGATAGTGTAACTCACAGTTAACAGACCTTTATCATATAACACTACTGGAAAAGTTTTGTACTGATATACACTACCGTTTCAAAAGTTTGAAGTCAGTAATTTTTTAATGAGAGACTTCTTCAAAAACATTTAAAAAAATGTACAGACCCAAAAGTCTGTCTGTGTGTGAGTGTGTGAGTGTAAGAGTGTGTGTGTGTGTGTGTGTTTGCGTGTGCGTGTGTTTGCGTGTGCATGAGAGTGTGTGTGTGTGTGTGTGTGTGCGTGAGAGTGTGTCCTGTGTTTGTGTTTGTGTGTGTGTGTGTGTGTGTGTGTGAGTGTGCGTGTGTGTCCTATGTGTGTGTGTGTGTGTGTGCATGCGTGTGTGATAGTGTGTGTGTGTGTGTGCGTGTGCATGCGTGTGTGATAGTGTGTGTGTGTGTGTGCGTGTGCATGCGTGTGTGATAGTGTGTGTGTGTGTGTGCGTGTGCATGCGTGTGTGATAGTGTGTGTGTGTGTGTGCGTGTGCATGCGTGTGTGATAGTGTGTGTGTGTGTGTGCGTGTGCATGCGTGTGTGATAGTGTGTGTGTGTGTGTGTGAGTGTGTGAGTGAGTGAGTGTGTGTGTGTGTGTGTGTGTGTGTGTGTCTGTCTCTCACCAGTCTCTGTTGCTCCAGCAGTAGATCTGCTTCCTCTTTCTCTCGCCGATACTGAATCTCCACATCCTGTAACCTGAGACAGAAACACATGGATGGTGAATTGATCACGTGTGTGTGTGTGTGTGTGTGTGTGTGTGTGTGTGTGTGTGTGTGTGTGTGTGTGTG